TGTAAAACCACGACAGCCATGAGCTATGAGTACAAATTTATTTTACATGCTCAAATGCATACCTTCTACTTATTTACAAACAATGCATTAGAACAAGGAGTCTGTTCTGATGACATAAAACTTTGAAATCAGGAGATATGGATTATGGTCTCACATCAGCCATACTTTGTTTTAGTTGCAGAACATTTACAAAATCTCAGTTTATAGAGTGAAGCAGTTGAGATGTCAATTTTTTTTTGAAGTTTACCTTTTAATTCATTTATTTTTTGAGATGGAGTCTCTCTCTGTCACCCAGGCTGTAGTGCAGTGACGCGATCTCGGCTCACTGCAACCTCTGCCTCCCGGGTTCCAGTGATTCTCCTGCCTCAGCCTCCTGAGTAGCTGGCATTGCAGATGCGTGCCACCACCCCTGGATAATTTTTATATTTTTAGTACAGACGGGGTTTCACCATGTTGGCCAGGCTGGTCTCAAACTCCTGACCTCAGGTGATCCGGCTGCCTCAGCCTCCCAAAGTGCTGGGATTACAGCTGTCAGCCACCACGCCCAACCTAAAAAAGCTTCTCTTAGGATCTTAGGATGGTCATCAAATGAGAGGAGTCCCTGGAGAAACTACTACCTGGTCCCCAGAGGAGTTAACCTGACTGCCCAAGTTCTCCAGTCGGCAGCCTAGCGTGTCACCTTGTGGGTTAAAATGCATTTGAATGTATTTGTTTGTTGGTACATGTTTGGTAATGTTTTAAATTGCCAAAAATACATGTTAAAGGAGATTGTACATTTTCACACCTCTACAGAAAATTCAGTTCCAAAAGATGGGCCGACTTCTCATTTTAGAGATAAAGACAGAGGGGCCCAGAGAGCGGCAGTGATTCATCCAAGGCAGAGCCAGGCAGAGCCAGGTAGGAGAAGCGCCCGGGAGGGAGCTCTGCTCTGCCCGCCACCCTGTGCTCTTTCTCACACCTGATCATACGAGTGTAAAGTCCTACTTGATGGAAGTATGTGACATATATTGTCATTTGTTCTTCCCAGGTGCCATGATTACTCTCTTTAATGGGTGAGGAAGTTGAGGCACTAATGGGGCAGGAAACTTGCTGAAGGTCCCATGGGCAGTAAATCACAAAGCTAGGGTGGGACTGATCCTAGGATGCTGCTCCCACAGACAATTGTGAACCAATGCGAGGGCCCCGTCTCCCTCCCAGGGGCCTTGCTAGCCCAGGGCTGCAGACTCTTCCCAGCCACCCCTGCCCTGGAGAGTTAGGCCCGACCGACCACACCAGCTTGGGGAACATACAAAGGCCACGCGGAGGACAGAGCAGCCCGGCAGCGCCTCTGTGGACGTGCGACGCAGACATCACAAGATGATTTATGTAACTTCTTACATAATGGCAGTGTTTCTATCAAAGACCAGCCCGCGGCAGGCTGTCAGCCGTAATCAGAGCGGACGTGCTTCTTGCTTCCTGGGAACAGGAGGCATCAGGTCAAAGCCAACCCCTTTGGCTGCCAGGCCGAGGGCTTCCTGCGCTGGTGAAGTTGCCTGGCATGGCTGTGCCCTCAGAGTAGGCAGAGACCTTGTAATGCCCCAGAGTAGTCACAGCCTGGCTCAGCCAGCCCCAGCACCCCTGGCTGCAGTCCACCTCCAGTGACAGAGACCACTGTCAGTGCGATCAAGTCCCACATTGGAAGTGGTTTCAACCATATTATTGTACCATGAAAGGGAGACTGGCTTTGGAGATGAGATCTTTGAACTTCGCCCCTACCTGGCTGTGTGATCTTGAGGTAGTCACTCACCTTCTCTGGGCCTCAGTTTCCTGGTTGAATTACATCATCAATTCTTGACCTCTACGCTGCACACATGGATACTGATATGGTACTATCATGTGATATGGTGCTATATGATAGCGTGCCACAAGTCAGTGCTACTTATATTTGGCAAATGATTTGCTTTTTCCTAATATAAATCAGAGCAGATTCAACATCATAAAATCAGGTAAGCCCACTTGCGCTCCCCTGTGCGTTCTTGAAAGGAATATGAATGAGTGGGGTTAGAGCCGGTGAGTCTGAGGACTCAAGCTCCAGGAAAAGAGGAGCGCTCAGCCCATCTTCACCATGTGGAGTCTCGAGAGGGGTGGGGTTCAGGCAAAGAGCTCTATGTTGAAGAAGAGTGGTGCAAGCAGACCTCTGTGTCTTGTTCCTGATTTTAGGGGAAAAGCTTTTGGTCTTTCACCGTGGGATATGATGCAGCTGTGGGAATTCTGTAGATCCTCTTTATCAAGTTGAGGATACTTTCTTCTATTCCTAATTTTCTGGGAGTTCTTGTCATGAATGGATGTTAAATTTTGTTAAATGAATTTTTGGATCAATTTATATGATCATGTGTTTTTTTCTTTAGCCTATTTACAATTTTTATTATGCTAAGATATAACATCATAACATTTACTATTTTGCCCTGCCTTTCTGTCTTTTCCTCCCTCCCTTGCTTCCTTCCTTTATTCCTTCCTTCCTTCCTTCCTTCCTTCCTTTCTCTCTCTCTCTTTCTTTCTTCTTTTTTTGAGACAAGGTCTTGCTTTGTCACTGCAGTGCAGTGGCACAATTGTGGCACACTGCAGTGTCTTGACCTCCTGGACTCAAGCAATCCTCCCACCTCAGCATCCCGAGTAGCTGAGACTACAGGTTCATGCCAACACAGCCAGCTAATTTAAAAAATTTTTTTATAGAGAGGAGGTCTCACTATTTTTCCCAGGCTGGTCTCAAACCCCTGAGCTCAAGCTATCCTCCCGTCTCAGCCTCCCACTGTGCTGGGATTACAGGTGTGAGCCACCACACCTGGCTGCATTTCACTTCTGATATCATAATCTATGTCTTCTCTCTTTTGGTCAGTCTTGCTAGAAACTTGTTAATTTGATTGATCTGTTTAAAGAACCAGCTCTTTTTTATTTTATTTTTTTCTATTTCTTTTTCTGTTTTCAATGTCATTGACTTCTGCTTTTATCTTTATTATTTCCTTTCTTCTTCTTGCTTTGGGCTTATTTCACTTTTCTTTTTCTGAGGGCATGGCTTTGATCATTGATTGAGATCTTTCTTGTTTTCTAATGTAGGCCTCTTAGTGCTATACAATTTCCTCTCAGCACTGCTTTGGCTGCATCTCACAAATTTTGATATGTTGTGCTTGCATTTTTGTTTGGCTGAGTATATTTTCATTATTTTCTTTGAGATGTCCTCTTTGGCAACAAGAAAGACCTATGTGGGACTTTCTCGGCAACAAGAAGACCTATGTGAGACTTTTCTGGGGAGTTGATAATGCTCAACAAGTGGGTCCAAAGCATTTAATGAACACCTACTATGTACAGGACATTCTCTGAGGTGCTGGGGATAGCAAAATGAATACGAAATCCATGCCAACAGCCTTGAAAATAGTTTACTTACCTCTTATTAAATGCTAATAATGTTTCAAAAACTTCCTCTGTATTAACTCCTGCATAATGAGGTGGATATTGCTATTATGCCTGCTCTACAAATGAGGACACTGAGGCACAGGTTGACTAAGTGACTTGCCCAAGACCCCACAGCCAAAAGGGGTGAAGCTGGAGTGCAACCCAAGCCAATTACTGTGATTAATTTTATGATTAATCATCATGATCAGTAAGCTGTGAGCCTGCTATTCCTCATCCTTGAAGTGGAGCTAAGAGCAGTTCCCTGGCAGGGTTGATAATGAGGATTAAGATATCAGCCATGAAAACTCAACAAACACATCACCTGGTTCATAATTGGTGCCCTTCCCTTGCCTTCACCTCTCCCCTGGGCTGGATATAATGGCTGCCCAGGTGAAGCCATAAGGAAGGGCTAGTGGGACAAAAGTGACATGATAGTGGCGTCTGTGCCCTGCGGGGCATCCCCAATGGACCACCGCCCCACATTCACACCCCTGCTCTGCACGCTCCTCCACCCCCACACGTCCATCACCTTGACTGTGTCCTCCAGCACTGGTAGGCCTCGTCACTCACCCAGGCACCAACTAGGAATGAAAAGTCTGTTTGATCTCAACCGTCATCTCGGGTTTGATTGGTGATGACTGGCAGGTGCCCTGTGGAGAGATTCCGAGGGCTCAGCAGATAGAACACTCTGATCAACTAGCGATGTCTTGCCTGAGGGAAGATGGAGATGAAGCCGGCTGTGTGCCAGGTGTCCCTGGCTCCAGTTCAGAATCACAGGATGGAAAGCCAGGGATGTCAATACTGTAATTTTTTTTTTTTTTTTTTTTTGAGACAGAGTCTCGCTCTGCCGCCCAGGCTGGAGTGCAGTGGCGTGATCTTGGCTCACTGCAAGCTGCGCCTCCCGGGTTCATGCCATTCTCCTGCCTCAGCCTCCCGAGTAGCTGGGACTACAGGCGCCCGCCACCTCGCCCGGCTAGTTTTTTTGTATTTTTTAGTAGAGACGGGGTTTCACCGTGTCAGCCAGGATGGTCTCGATCTCCTGACCTCGTGATCCGCCCGTCTCGGCCTCCCAAAGTGCTGGGATTACAGGCTTGAGCCACTGCGCCTGGCCCAACCCTGCAATTTTAATCAAGGGATTGGAGCCCCTTGAGAAAAGCAGTGACTTATTCAAGCACATATTCCTGTGGCCAAGATTCAAGTTTCCCACCTCCCAGGCCAGAATTCATCAGGTCCTTTTAACAGACATTTGTTACTAAGTTTCAACTCCAGGCTGGGCACTGACTTAGCCATAATAGATATCTTACACATCTCATAGTATTTATTCTCACAACAGCCTTCTGTGATAGATCCTAATGTCATTCCCATCTGGCAGATGTGGAAACTGGGGCTCTCGTAGACTAAAGAACTTAACAGCTAGTGAGAGTTAGGGCCAAGATTCGAATGCTTACCTCCTGACTCTGAACCTGGGATCTTTCTAACATACTACTTTGTTTCATGGATGAGAGGCAGCAGTGATGGCAACAGCCATAGCTTGAGTCAAGGCACTGAGGCGGAGAGTGTTAGGCATTTTGGAGAGCGGAGACAGTGAGAAGCTCAGTGCAGTGGGGAGGAGAGGTCACTGCAGGGAGTGAGGTGAGATAAGGTTAAGTAGAAAGGTTGAGTCCCCCATGTATCTTTGCATGCAGCAGGCACGTAACACATGCTTAATGACTGACTGACTGAATGCATGAATGAATGAATGAATGAATGAATGAATGAATGAATGAACAAACCAGAACACAGACTAAAATGGTTGGTTGGCTCCTGAGCCATTTTAGGAGCTCCAATAGCCAGTCGTAAAACAACCTGTAAACAGCAAGTGCATCGTCAGTGCCTGACTCCCACCCCTCCAGCCACACTGTCCCTCAGGTATGTGGCACAAACAGCACACCCTCATCGTCAGTGAGGATCCCTTGCCTCCTGGGATGAGGGTTTCCAAGGGAAAAGTGATGGGGGCAGGGGTCTAACTCACATTGAATACTGCAGTGCCCCATGAGTTAGATATTTGCCATCTCATTGAATCCTCACTAAACAAATCAATGAGTCAATAAAACCTGAGATGGGCATTGTTCTTCCCATTTGACAGATTCAGAAACGAGGATCAGGGAGATAGAACTCTCCCCTAGTCACTGAGATAGGTGGCAGAGGAGCTGGGTTTGAGCTCAGCCAGTGTCTACAGTGCCCTTAGGGGAAGGTGGGGTCGGGGGTGGGCATTGTGTTTTCTTGCCTTACAAATTCCCAGCCCCCACCCCAGCCACCTGGAGCACCTGTCCTACTTGAGTAATAGAGACTCTTCATTGGCATTTATCATTTAGTTCCTGGCCTCTGATCACAACTCTGTCTGTAGCCCAAATCTAGCCCGTAACAAACTTTTCCAAAATTCTCTGAATACGCCGTCATCTCTCAGGAAAGGGGCATTTGCATCATCAGCAAAAGGGCCATTTTCACCTGCCTCAGCATTGCTTTCCTGCACTCCCTGACTCGGTCCTTTTGGGGCGTGTTGGGACTATGAAGAGTTACTGCTGTGAACGCTGTGGCCCCCTTACCTCCACCCTAGCATCAAGGTGAGCTCTCCTAGACCAACGTTAGCTCCCTGGATGGCATTCCAATGCCTGGCACATGGCAAACCCCTTGGAGCATGTTGGTCACCCACAGAGATCATTCACACACCTTAGGAGTCAGACAATTGCATTTTGTTCCTGCCTCGCTCGTCTGGGCAGTGATTTCATCTGTGTGGGCCTCACACTTCTCATCTGATAAACTTGGTGGAAACGGTGCCCAGCTCCTGGACTGGGGTCCCTTCCAGCAGGCTAAAGGATGAGTAGGGGTTGTTTTAGCTCTGCTGGTCTGGGGTGGAGGGGAGACTGGGAGGAAGAGCATGAGGCAGAATTGTGTCTAGAGGCAGGGACCCCAAGGCAATTCACACTGACTTCCTAGAACTGAATCAAAAGGAAAACGCCATCTTTCCACACCCAAGTAGTAAGGATTAGAGGCTGCTTCCTTTGCAAACCCTACCCCTTTTCCCACTGTGTTGCAGATGCAGTTGGAAACCATCATTCTCAGCAAACTATCGCAAGAACAGAAAACCAAACAAACACTGCATGTTCTCACTCATAGGTGGGAATTGAACAATGACATCACTTGGACACAGGAAGGGGAACATCACACACTGGGGCCTGTTGTGGAGTGGGGGGAGGGGGGAGGGATAGGGTTAGGAGATATACCTAATGTAAATGACGAGTTAATGGGTGCAGCACACCAACATGGCACATGTATACATGTGTAACAAACCTGCACGTTGTGCACATGTACCCTAGAACTTAAAGTATAATAAAAATAAATAAATAAAAACATAAGAAAAAAATGTAAAGTACCTCTGATCAGTCACCTCCTGCCACAATCAGACTGGTCGTGGGCCAAGGCTTCATTTACATAGGGTGTAACTCTACACAACCAATGGGAAACCTCTAGAGGGTACTTAGACCCTAGAAGATTTGCAACCAGTGCTCTTGGGCCACTTGTTCAAGCCTGCTCCCACTCTGTGGAGAGTACTTTCATTTCAGTAAATCATTGCTTCATTCTTTCGTTGCTTTGTTTGTGCATTTTGTCCAATTCTTAGTTCAAAATGCTAAGAACCTGGATGACTTGTAGTCAAGACCCTCCACTGGTAACAAGCATGTAGATAAAGGAGAAGATGGGGAAGACTTGGGCTGGAGGGCTGCAGTCCACTCCCAGGGTGAGAACTCTTGTTGATGTTTCAACAGACCTCAGCCAGTCCTTCCCAGGGCAAGAAGCATGGCAGTGGATGTGAGTTCAGGTGGGTTCAGCAGAGCTTAGAGTTGGGTCTGTAGCCACATCCCCAGGGTGAGGGTCCCTGGACAAGCCCTGAACAGGGCCAAGTCAAACAAGAGCCTCTTCTGTCCCCCTTCCCTGTTCCATTGCCAGTTATTTCTCTAACCTTATCCACTGGTCATCCTTCGCCAGTCACATCCTTTTTCTTGCTGTTCTTCAGGCACCAGGCTCACTCCCACCCAAGGACCTTTGCACTTGCTATTCCCTCTTCCTGGAATTATTTTCCCTTAGCTCAGTGATTGCACACATAGGCTTGCCACCTGTTTGTGTAAATAAAGTTTTATTGGAACACAGCCGGGCCACCCATTGACATATCGTCTATGGTGCTTTTGCCCTACGACAGTGGAGTTGAGGGTTGTGACTGACCCCAGAGTACACACAAAACCTCAAGTATTTATAGTCTGGTCCTTTATGGAAAAATGTTGCCAGCTCCTGCCTTGGATACTTGCATGGCTCACCCTCCCCCTCTTTTCTCTTTACTCAACTGACTCACTAGTGCGGGCTTCCCACTCTCCATCCTCACCTCTTTCTCTGCTTTCTTCCTCTCCCCGGCGCTGGGCACATGAGATCTCTGGGTATTGACTGCACTTCATTGCCTGTCTGCCCACCACAGCACAGGTCCTACAGGGTCAGGGAATTGGGTTCTTGCTTCTTGCTGTATCCCTATGCCTAGAACAGGGCCTCACACACAGACCTGCACAGGAAATACACTGTCAGTGAATGAGAACTTCCTATACTCCCGGGCACTGGCCCAGCCCACGCCTCTGGGCCCCTGTCTCAGTTTCTCTTGTCATGGAGCCAGGGTCTTGGCAGGTCCCTTGCCAGGTCTCTCCCCGAGGAGGTTGAGTCCTATCGTGAATGGTCACAGTCCTCAGAAACACCCAACCTGGGTTCAGGAGAGCCCTGTACCAATCCATTTTCTGAGGCTCTCATTATATTAAAAAAATAAAATGTTTGAGGGGATGCATATCGCAACTACCTAATCTGATCATTACACATCATATACATGTAGCCAAATAACACATGTTCTCCCAAAATATGTACAACTATTATATATCAATAAGAAAATTTTAAAGACATGCTAAACCAGGGGTGCAGAAATGATGGTATTTTCAGTGTTGACATGGAACAGAATTAACACTTTTAATGCACAAATTCACTGTTACGTTTCACTGTTACAGCTCATGAGATAGTTACAGAGTGTATTTTCAATATTAATTAAATTTTGTTAACAATATTAAAGTTTACTGGAATATTAAGACAATTAATTTTAAAATAATTAAAATCTATGTTAATTTCAATATTAATTAACAGTGACCAGAGAGACACAAAGTAGGAGCTGGAGAGTCACTGTCCTTCTTTTTCTCAATCCTGTCACACGGTGATCTCATTTGAAAGGAATATATGGAGCATGATCTCCCCAAAAAAGTATAAAAGCTCCACGCTGGGATCCCGGCTTCTGACTCCCGCACAGAGCTCCCTGGCACAGTGCAGGAGAGCATTCTGCTCAGGACCTCTGACCTCGCCTGAATCTCCCCTTCCCACGTAGCCCTGCCCTGGGGCCTGTGACTCTCCCATTGAACACTGGCCCATCCTGAGCTGATGCTCTGAGACTTTTAAGCCCCAGTAAGAGCTTTGATAACATTCATTTCACGGAGGCACACAGGGCCTCAGTCTCACACACAGAGTCCTCCAACAGGCTGTCGGGTCCTTCTTGGTAACCCCGCTGTACAGAGGAG